TTGGTCTGACCCCTGAGGACAGGGTGGGCTGTTCCTGGGTCTGGTCCCCGCCATTATCTTATGGCGCTTTTCCACTGGCACATAGGAACCGAGCTGTGCCCGAGCCATGCTGTGAAGAGAGCCTAGTTCCAGCATGGTTCGAGCTCGCTTCGGTTTTCCACTGCAGTATGGTCAGCTTGGTAAAAGCGTTGCCAGTTTTGGAGAATGACAGTGATGGAAAACCGAAGTGACTCTTTTACCAAGCCGACCCTACTGCAGTGGAAAACCGAAGCGAGCTGTTCACTTGGTGTACATTATGATTTATTATGTACTTATTTCCACTTGCAAGTCTGTGAGAATTGCCGTCTTATGTTAGCATCAAAGCATTTGCTTGTGTAAATCTGCATTACAAATTCCATTCTGTTGTATAGTACTTTAAGTTGAGAGGTAAGGAGTGCACACTGATACAGCGCATTGCCACACCCACCACATGATGACCCACCTCAGGGATGTGGCATCATCTGCAGCCATGGTGCAGGTGATGCCTGGGCCTAGGGCCGGGAGATATCATATCGATAATATATCGCGCATGCACAATAATCACCAGGGCTTCAGATGATGGATGAAACATTTGACCCGACTGCCAGATTTTTGGTACTAAATGGACATTTATTTACGCCCACAATTTAAATATTCACAAATCAGATTAGTAGTACGCCTAAATTAGTGAGGCATTTTATGACGCTCAAAAGTCAGTAATCAGTATAAACTTGCCATATCTTTGTTTATTAAATTTGGTTAGTGGAGCACATCACATAATACTGTTTTGGTATACTATGGTTTGGTAAAATGCTCCCAGATCGTTACCCTCTTACCTGATGTTCTGGCGGAAGTCACTGCGCTCACACAGTAGCTAAAAAAACAGAGTGGCAGCATGTTCAGCTTGAATGCCGCAAAAAACACGTCTAATATGGGAAAGAGCTGTTGTGTGATTGATTGTACAAATAGCTCCTATTTCCTGTTAAATCTATCTTTTTAGAGACTAAATAAGTAAGAATCGGATGTGAATCGGTCATGTATGGCCGATACCTGATCCGTCAAGTAGGTCTGGATTGGCGCCGATACGATCCGAATATTGGATCAGTGCATCTCTAATTAATAATGAATAATATATATTCTTTAATAATTTATGTGCAGAAAACTCAGTTCATTTCTACCAATCAGATGTTGATGATTTGGCTCTGTTTGGTCACGCTTTCCGCCCTTTCAGTAAGCAGGGAATGTCAGCGTGAGCACGGCTTGGCTATGGCTTGGATAATTTACAATGGTAAACCGTCAGTTCACGCTATGGCTTGATTCTTGGTGGCAGTGGAAAAGCGACATTTGTGGGGTCGGCATGTGGGACGTGATCGCTGCTGAGCCGCACCTTAACGGGAGAACCTCACTCTGTTCCTTCCCTAACCCCTGGGGCAAAGTCCAACCCAGTTCTTGGTGTTTCCTGGGGTGGCTGTTACATTATATACTTGATGATCCGCAGAAATTAACGGTTTAATCACGTCTTTATTAGAGCTTCCATTTAAATGTGAATTTTAATTATGTGGGGAACACAGGATAGGCAGAGGAAGCTGGTTCAGGCGCCTCTTTAAACAGTGTGGCCTTGATCTGTTTTAACTGGGTTTTTGAGAGCTTTTTCAGATAATCGTGTTTTTCCAGTTGAGGCCCATTGCTTCGGGATACCTGAGAAATGAGAAGGTCTGTGTGCGTGTGTCTGTGTATATATTACATCGTGAGAACCAAATGTCCCCACAATGTGATATCAAGCTGTTTTGACCTTGTGGGGACATTTTTCCAGTCCCCACAATGGACGACTCGGTTTTATAAAAGTACCTGGAGGAAACCCCACAGTGACATGGGGAGAACATGCAAACTCCACATACATGGAGACATGGCAGAGACTCGAACCCGGGTCCCAGAGATGTGGGGCGACAGTGTTAACCACTTGTTCTGGATATGTACTTCTACTTTTCAGAAGAAGTGTTCTCCCAACAGCCCTGGGTACTCGGTACTCCATGTTATCAGTACGTATCCCAGCATCCAACATGGCACATTTCAGCAGCTATTGGGTGAAAGAGAGCAACTGCGGTTTTCTTGAGCGTGTAGAAGTTTCTTTGCACCAGGATGTTACTTAAAGGTCTGACTGATCGCAGAAGAATTCATCACATTGAGATAATTAGCAACGTTATTACCATTTTGTGTTTCAGGAATGTCCTCGTTGTTGGCAGAGCGCGATGAATACTGATGTGGATCACAAAGCCGGCTACTCCGGTTGATAGATGGCACTTTATGGGATGGCTGGTTAGGTGGCCATTTCTGCAGTAGGTCAGGACTCTGAATGAGTGCAGGATACGGTTAAGTTCAAACCTTATTAACAGCACTGGGAAAGGTCATTTCAGCACAGGTGGCGGATATCTAACCGTAAAATAAAAATAGATTCGTTTAAAAAACCCCAATAAATTAGTGAATATTATCTTTGTGTGTGATTTCTTTAATGCCTGAAGCCAGATGGTTAAACGCTAACTCCACGTTCCTTTGTGCAAGAGCCTGATATAATTAATCACATTAAAGAAGGGCAGTACTTTGAACTGCAGTACCCACTCTGAACCGAATCGTTTAAGGTTTCATGGGCTCGACTGCATAATAGCATTACTCATTCTGAATTTTAAATATGTGCCGGTTGATGGGTTGATTCAGCCTGACATTTTGAAATAATAATAAAAAAGTAAGTATAGTACTTGGAATAATAAAATCATGGCGGGTTGGAAGCTGAGAATGGCTTGTTTTGGTGAAATCTGACACAACAGTGTGGCGTCAGGGCCAGAAGTGAAGCCCAGGACTCTGAGAACCGTTAATTTCCATGGCAGGGAGTGAGACTCGTTCAAAAGCAATGGCTCACAGTTAAGCTCTGGAGGAGGCCAATTTTTTTGTATTTTTTTTATTTTTCTCTTCTGAGCATTCTTAAGTGCCAAACTGACAGTCAAGATGTTTGCCTGTCTCTCCCTGGGGTTTTTCCACTCATGAAATATTTAAGTGATGTTATGCAGTCCTAGATACAGTGTATTATTCAATTCCACAGCTGTAAGTTTTTGTGCAATCAATTTAGAATTATTTTTTTTGTCCCCCCATCCCACCTTGCTTATTAAAAAAAAAAAATCACCTAATTATGTTGTGTCTTGTGCATTGTGTTTCTTGGGTGGTTTTTGGGTCCCTGTGCCCCTTCTCGCCTTCGTGTTCACGCTAAGATACCTGTGAAGTGTTTTCAGGCTCTGCATTCAAATAGATCTGAAGCATTCGCAGGTTGTCTTGATGGCCTGTCAAGGTGGTTAAGTGCAAATTGAAGTCACTGGCGCCGGTGAGCCAAGGCTCTGCCATCCTGCGGAGCACGGAGCCGGCTCGTGTGCAACGTTGCATCTGCCCGCTCGCACGGGCCATTTCATTACTACGTCAGGACAGAGCCATCGCACTCGTGGCACTTCGCCTGTCGGTCGCCGGTGCGGTGCCATGTGACTGCGACAAAGCATTATCTTTTATGTATTTATTCACAGATTGTTTCCTAAACTGCAAATTGCCCATTTGGACTCTGACATTTAATTCGTAATCCTTTTTAACGGGATCTCCATACGGAGATGGGCTCTGCCGTTGGACCTCGGGTTAGTGTCACTAATCAGCGGGTAAGAGCAGCAACTCGTTTTGCGGGGTAAATGTGAGTTAAACAACTGGGCGTAATCAAAGATCACAAACACTGCTGCATTTAGCACAAAAGTATGCAAAGATTATGCATTATTGTCTTTCTCCTCCGGGCTTGAATCTGAAATGTCGTCTCCCAGTAACACCTGGGGGCTAGATGTGGTGTCATAATTTGAAAGATCCATAGCTGTGGGGGGAAAAAAAACAACTGCTAAGTGAAAAAGTGAAAATCTAAATCTGGGATCTGCCTCTCTAACTTCAGGAAGCATATCGGTTAATGATGTTGACTCTTGAGCAACTCGCACTGTAAATGATCCGGCCTTCTACCAAAACTCCAATTAAATGTTGGTTTTGGAAGCCGCTCGTAATGTGGTGCCGATGTCCTGCTGGAGAGCCCTTGAGCAGAGTACTTAACCCACATTGCTCCATCAAATTATCTGGCTGTACAAATGGAAGAAAGGGGTATCATTTGAAAAGATTCTGTGGTCGAGCAGCTGAAAGTGTCAGCATACAAAGGCAAAGTCATTTAGGTGGCTGACTTTCAGGATGGGAACAGTTGTTCGGAGCGCAGGGGAGATGCAGTGGCGTGCAGCTTCAAATCACAGCAGTAGGGTAACGTGTAGTTAACACCGCAGCTCGAGCTGCTCACCGACGGCCGTGTTCAGTAACAGCCCAAGGAGGGAGAAGCTAAGGGAACACCGCCTCCCCCTGCAGTGTGAAAAGGCGACAGACGTGTCCCCCTCCGTGGTGAAAGGCGACACTCAGCGGGTTTTAGATCCCCGTGGAAATGAGATTCCTCTTCTGCGCTTTCCCAGGTCCGGCTGGCAGTCGATGCAGATTCCTCAGCCTTCAGTCACCTCGCGGGTCGCGTGTTAGAAGTGGGCTGGACAGTGGAGCGCGGCTTCTTATCTCATGCATCCAGCGTTGATGAGATTTCGCCGTAATTATCCCCGTTGTTTCTCGCGGGTCCGACCGGTGTGCGAGTGCAGTGGCGGTCCCGTCTAACAGGAGCAGTGCTGCCGCGGTGTCTTCTACTCCCATCTGCCCTCAGAGCTGCTTGCCAGGAAGTAAAATTATAATCCCGTGGTCCCCATTGATGGCTGGCGGTGATGTTTATTTTTGATGTTATTGGTGCCTTTGGTTGTAACTGATGCTTTTCTTTGAAAAGGGGCTCGGACACCTTTGAGGCTTAGGTTTTACGAAGTGGACGTTTTTGGTAACCTACCAGTGACGATGCCCTTTACAGTGAGATTAAATGGCTCCCCGCTTCCTTGCAGGCTGCCTCTGGATTTCTGTGCTGGAGGAGAGTGTTGAGCAGAGGCCCCCGTCTCTCCTTCCCCACGCCGCCTCGTGTCGACACCATGACGTCGGAGCTGGAGAGCAGCCTGACCTCCATGGACTGGCTCCCGCAGCTGACCATGCGGGCCGCCATCCAGAAGGCAGACGGAGGGCCGCGGGGCCACGGCCACGGCCCGGGCCCCAACAAGAAGGGCGCCCTGCTAGACCCCGGAGGCGGCGCCATGCTCGACCAGGAGGAGGCGCAACAGCACAGGGACGGCAAGCCACCCTACAGCTACGCCAGCCTCATCTCCTTCGCCATAAACAGCTCGCCGAAGAAGAAGATGACCCTCAGTGAGATCTACCAGTGGATCTGCGACAACTTCCCGTACTACCGCGAGGCGGGCAGCGGCTGGAAGGTGAGCCGGGATCATGCCACGCCTCGGAGTGTACTGTGCTTTAATTAGTGCTCGAGTGACACCTGAAACACCAGGTTGGATGACCCCAGCATCCCCATAATTACTCCAGTGAAGCAATTAAGGGTTGAGGATGAGTGAAAGCTGGTGCACCGTGGGAGTGTGGGCGCCCGTATGCTCCTGGGAGGGTGAGCAGAAACGCCGCAGGGAATTTAAGAAAAGCATCGCAGGCTGCATCGATTTCTCCTGTTAATTAGTCAGGCTTTTGCGATCTTGACAGCAACTCGAATGCATCGGATTTTACTTTTGAGATGCACGGAATCTGGTTGGTTCGCACCCCAAAAGGCTGCCGTCTGATGCTGTTACTCCTCACGAGGAATGACCCGCTGACCCCGGCAGCGAGGCAAATAATGAATGGGGGACGGAAAGAGCCAGAGCAGCCCAGCCTTCGCCCTGTCGAAAGGCAGCACCTCCCCATGGAGGTATGAGCTCCAGTACCAGTGCGGCCCGCTCCGTCCCGATACCGAGAGACTGCAGCAGATGTGCTTAGTGAGATTTCTGACTAGCATTGGCTGTCCATGAAGTGCCCATGAATCATGTCTACTGCCTTAGTGTGACGTTTGTATGCAAATGAACCTTTTTTTTTTTTTTAACAGTGTCTGAAATGAATTAGCAGCCTTTGCTGACAAGTTACTAATAGTATGACAGTGTAGCGGGACATGGTAAAGTCTATGACGGGTGCAATGTCGTGTTCCTAATGTACTTGAACCCCTACAATGAGTTTACACAAAACCCTATATTATAATTGAACAAAATTGAACATCTCGCCTGCTTACAAACCCTGGGAAAGATGATTTTGGGCCAACACACCTGTGTGAGATTTCCACTCAGATCATGGCTGGTGAGGGGAGTGTTGATCTCTTGGGTCACATAGACCAGATCAGACCATTTTTGACTTTCTGTTTGATCTGCGATTGACACGCAGTGCAATTATTCATACGTGTCATCATATCTGAACTTAATTTTCAAATGTTAAATTTGAAATGTGCTGACCTTTGAGATGCCTGTGTGTAACGATTTTAAAATTACTTTTTTTTTTTAATTACATTTGCAGCCATGTAGTGTGAATAGAATCCTCAAGCTACAAAACCTTATTTCTCCTTATTAACGATAAAAATGGTTTGGAGATAATCTGCAGCCCTGCGTGTCCCACGATGTTGGCCCGCGTAGAGGCGGGGGGCAGGGGTGCTGCTGCTGGCTGGCGTAAGGGGTTAATGCCGCGAGCACTCGACAGCGGATGTACCTGGCCCCGCACAGCTTGCTTGCATTGCCCCCAAAAGGAAGCGTGCGCTTCCTAATTACCGTGAAGGTGATTGCTGTCAGCTGTGCACAGTGGGAGCCAGACAGACAAAAGCGGCAGTGATGTCTGGACGCTCCCGCTGCCGGGCCCGGGTTGGGGGGTGTTCGGGGGGGGGGGGGGGGGGGGGGGGGGGGTGTGCAAGTATGCACGTTTATACAGGATAGGGGGAATGGGTGCACGTTTAACGAGGACTGAGGAGTGAGACTGCGTCCAGTGCGAAGGTGTGTTTGTGTGCGTGGGGGGGGGGAGTGTTGTCTGTAGTGCATCTGCAGCTCCTGCTGTTCCCGTGGAGACGCACACTGGAATTTACTACCCAGCGCACGCGCTCGTCTGCTGCGTATGATAATGCGCACGTCGCAGGGAGTGCCGTAACTAGGCCGGGTGAGGCAGCTGAGGCGGGCCAGGGTGTGCAGGTCAGCCCACCGGTGACTGATATCCATAGAGCCCGCGCTGCATTTTACTGTGGAGCTGGTGGGCCGGTGTTGGTCAGGCGCACAGGTCTTGTGTGAAGACCTGCTAGGGATGGGAACTTCAGGCAGAAACACTAGTCGAATTTTGCCAGTCATTATTCGAGTAATATTTGATTAACCCCCCGCCTCGACTTTCATCCCCTCCCTGCACATGGACAAGTATTAATGTATTTCCATATAAAATGAGAAATTACTCATTACTGCAAAAGTTTCATTATGATTATGATTGGTTTGGAAAGCGCATGCAGATTTCATGCAAAAAAAAATAAAAAATCAACTTTTAAGGAAAACAACTAATCATATTGCTGCTAAATAATATTTGAGATGGTTCATTCATTATTCAGTTTAATTTTTAACTTTTTAATTTTAATTAAATTTTTTTTTTATAGATGTTCTCAAATATCCAACGACGCTGAGTTCGCCCTAACATCTACGTGCCTTAGCTTGGAGTCGCTGCTTGTCTCCACCTCCAGAGAATGACTTGTTCACTTAGGCTGTTCTGGGCTCCTTGGCATTGCAGCCTCCTGAGGCTTCGCTGAAATGCCAGCATGTGTTGTATGGTAATGATGCGGGCCGTTAATGTGGCAGGTGTTAAAGCCTCATTCCCTCTACCTGTGTTTGGTGGAGAAAGCGCCTCCTCTCTCCGGCTCGGAATCGCACGCAGGTCGCTTTCACTTCGGCAAGATTTTGATGGACTAGCAGTGGCTGTGCGCCCCACCCACCCCCCCCNCGCAGTGATGTGTAATGATACAGCTGGGCGCCCTGATGGACAGAGTGGTGACTGACATCTCCTGATGGGCACGCGTTCTTTAAGGCATACAGCTGCAAGCTGTCGGACTTGCTGGGGCAGGTCGGCGCCCCCTGCTTTGTCAATTTGGTAATGTCCAGTAATATCTGTGCACTTGAGGTCTGCATCATTTAGTATTTAATATGGCAGTAAAATGAAATTAGTTTGTATTAGATTTTGCTTAATATCTTATGGGAATAATGAGATTTTTTTCATCTTATAACCTGAATCCTAGAACCCTGGTCTTTCATAATCCCAGGTATTTCTTGGAAACCGGATGCAAAATCTGATGGACGCTCTCAGCCTCCAGCATGTCTGGCTGCTCGTTCCTGTTATCATGGTGCAGCCTTTCGGTGTCTTGGCGCCATGGCCGGTAGTGGGCCAGCAGTGGCTTAATGGGCTGACGATGGTCCTCAGTAGCGCCGCCGCGGCTCTGCATATGAGCACGGGAGAACTTTCAGTCGCCAGCTTCGTGTATGTATTTTTTATTTTTTTTGTCTTGCTTATAAATCCCTTTCCGGCTTTGAAAGTCTCGGTGTTCCATACCGCAAGCAGTTGTTGATGAAACGCTTAATTCTCTGCTGTACATTGTCACTGTCACTGATTGTTATGCTCTGAAAAAGCTTTGGCTCTGGGTCAATTTCTGACATTATGAGCTCTGTGCCGGCTGCCTTTCGTCGGGGGGATTAAATTAGCTCGGAACGTGCGGCTTGTTTCTCAGCGCTCCCGATTGAGATGTATGTGTTTTCTTTTCTCTCTTTTTCATTGTCTGCTCTCTTTCTTCCGTCAGCCGTCCTTATTTTCCCTTTTCACCGGAGTCGTCCACAGCTCTTAAATGTAGCCTCTGACCGCATAGCCAATCTAAATGCTAATGCTTTATATGTATGTGTAGTACACCCTTACCAAGGGCCTCATCTACCCAAAGCTTGAAGGGCTTCAAATCTGTACTTTTGGTTGGGGGGCGGGCTGTTTATGAACCTGAGCTCCTGTTCAAGCAAGGACAGAGCTCACTTTCTGATGAGATGCAACTGCAGCTTTGATCTGTGGCACCTGAAGCGGGTATCTGGCAGTCCGCTTCCCCAGCAAGAAAAAGTTACTGGATGAGCTGATGCCGGCTGCAGAGCAGTATGGGAAATGAAGACACGGAATTCCCTTTTTGGGAAAACTGAATAATTAGAAGTCATTTGGAGGAGAAATGTCCCAGTTAGGTTTGCGCAGGCTTGACACTTTATTATTTTGTCCAGTAACTGCATGCCAGCACATAGAAATGTTTCTGTATGAATATTTCTTCTGTCATATTTCAGTCATTAGCGGTGATGGGGTCATGGTGGCTGCTGAAGTGTGGCAGCTGCTTCACCCAGCACCTCCAAATTGTGCAAATGACGTCCCGGGTAGATGTTCGGCTTGGTAATATTGGGTTGGTGTTAGGGCTGTGCGATATGACCAAAATCTCATATCACGATATAAGTCATCTAATATCCCGATAACGATATATATCTAGGCTGCACATCATATTTATGGATTTTTTTTCTAAAAAATCAGCTGAGGTACGAAATGGACAAGAATTCCGCAAACAAAAAAGTAACGCGATCCACAGATAGATGGGAAGTGATCCACAAATGTGCAAAGCACATTTCACGTGTACATATCCCTCCGTATTTTTGGGGATATGATTTTACACAACACAAATTTTAAAAACGCTTATTTGTGGATAGTTAAATATTTGTGGATCATGGTACGTATTTGTGGATTGTCTTCTATGGGTTGCAAGTGATAAAGCCCAATAAAAACTTCCATACAAGTGCCACATCCCACCTGGTGGCGTGTAAATCTGCAAACCGTCATCCAAGTGGTGAAGTATCGCTGTAAATGGTGTATTTTGCGACACCACGAAATAAACGATAGAGCATAATATGAAACTATGCACGATTTTCATTACGTCATCCAAAATGTATATCGCATAGCCCTAGTTGAAGTGGTGAAATTTGTCTGATAGTTTCAAAATATTTAGCAGAAACAAGCAAAAAATACTTTTTTTTAACATGCATACGCATGACAGTGTGGTGAGGAACCTGTTTGTAGGTCATGTGACTTTGTTAACCTCTAATTTTAGGGGGGGGGGGATTCCTTGGTGGGCAGTGACCATGAACCCTTCCGGCAGGCGACCTTCACAGTGCTGCCTGTTCACAGTCCTTTTCTTTTATGCGTTTTAAATTATTTTCTTAATATGTTTTGTTTCTTTTGAGGCGGTGGGTATGATGGGAGATTTATTTTTTTCTTTTGCAGGATTACTTGACCCTCCTTTCCCAGCCTTCGTAGGCTGTACCCTTGCCATGTGTCGCTGCCCCGCTGGGCTGTGTGGAAGACGAGCGTGGGTCTTCTGTAG